CTTCTCTTGGCATCCGCTCAGAACAGGATCCCGGAAAGTCATCTTGCACGTTCTATGTTTGTTCTCCTTGGCTTTAGTAGTGGAAGAACATTCAGCGTCATAGATCATGGTTGGCAGGGCAAGATGGTTGCATGAACGGTTGTTTTCTTTTTCTTACACGGACAAGTCACTATCGAGAAGTGAAATTTCGATGCGGCTAAAGCTGGGTCATTCCGGTTGCCTTTTCTGATGATAATTATACTGCACAAGAATTTATCCAGGAAAATAATCGTTATGAAGATTATCATTTAAAAAATTTTAACTTTATTCTCTAACTTGCCGCAAATGGACAGTTGCAAAACTGGCAAATGGTTTTTCTCTCAAAAATTTTTATGGAAATGATAAATTTAAAACAAAACCTCATTAGAGTACAGTGTATAGTTCATATAAAACGGCTTCAACTGGTAGCTCTGAAACGGTCGCTGTAACGTTTTGTTCGAATCTATGTATGTTGCAAATACACGCAAGCACACATCTAATTCAGCGACTTATAGTTATAAGTTTATGTAGATAATGCAACGCTATGATTCAGTTTGGTTATTGTTCCAAGTTTTCTTGAGGAACGAGCCAGTGCTCTTCTTATCAGTTATTGCTAGCAAAGAAAGTAAGCTCACGAAATAAAATAAGCATTGTTTATGACTGTCAGTTAGTGAATAATATTTGGAGAAGTTTGAGAGGAACAAAGCATTTGGTTTTAGACAAAATTACCGGATAACTTATGAAAATTTATTGTGAATTCAGATTTAACACAAATCACCGATGCATTAATAATAATATCATGCTCATAATGGGTGTTCAAATTCAAAGAAGGGCTGATCTGTCATTTGATCATTACGTTGTTGTTGTTTACGCTTCGATGATAACGATGCGACTATCTGGCACCAGAGCAATCATAGAATCAAATGGGAAACACTATTTCATATGGAAATGAGGGTGAAATTTGTAAAACACATCACAAGACGGTTTGAACAGATGATTCTAGATCTGACCGTTGACGTGGAAACTGAGTGCAGCGGCTTACTAGGGCTGCCGCCAAATGGGGTGGTGCAAAATGAATCGATTTGCTTCCTGGAAATCTGAAACGAACTTTCTGGTGGACACACGGACTCAACTGGCTGCCATCGAGAAAAAGCTTCAGTTAAAAGATGGACCAAAAGCAAACAGCCTTCAGCTCCAATGTGGTACGAAGTAGCGCACAAGGAGGCGGCTGAAACAGTTGCCAAGGCGAACGCTGAGTCGTGGAAAAAGTTTGGTGAGGTGCTGGAATCGGAACCAAACGCTAGCACACAGACTTTCCGCCGCCTATCAGGTGGAAGGAAAGACAGTCCAAAAGTCCTGAACGACAAATCTGCACGCCCAGAGAAACTTTGGTGATGGAGAAAGCATTTTGACAAAGTCCTAAACCTCGAACAACTGCAGGAAAACTTTCCTAAACAACAACAGACGAAAAATATTAGGCTTTCAATAGATGAAGTCGCCGAAGCTGCAGAAATCTGAGAAGTGGTACGGCCAGTAAAATCGATGAACTCCGCCCTTAGATGCTTAAAACTGTAGGTGAACAAGGCATGTTGCGCCTACCCGTGTTAGTTAGACAGCATTGACTACGGAATGACACCGCTGATTGGAGAACGGTGGTTGTGTTACCCTTGTTCAATACGAGACATCATACGGAATGCTTTTACTATCAGAGAATTGCCTTATTGAGCTTCTCGGAAAAAGTCCACGGAAACGTGTTATAAGGGAGTGACTACGTTGATGCCTTATAACTAACTGTAGGACAAAAGTATAGGAGTGTGATTTTAGATCAGTCTGAAGCATCTTTGATCGGATCTTCACCTCACGTCAGATTGTTGAGAAATCGTGGGAGTTTGCTCACTTGATTCACAGTTGCTTCGTTGACGTGGAGAAAGCCTATGACCGAATCCCGCGCATCAAGCTGTGGGCGTGCCTGAAGAGTGTGCGATCGATAGCAAGTTGCCACGAGCCATCTGATCACTCTATATTGATAGCAGGCACTGTGACAGAGTTCATGTTAAGTCAAAATCTTTCAACATCAGTACAGGTTTCCACTAAATTTGCATTGTTTTCTCACTGGCATGTGTTTTATATCGAAAGGACAATCAGACGCAGTCAGGGTTGCGAGTGTCCTAGCGTACGAAATGTGGAGAAGAGAAATTTTAGTCTGCAAACGACTACCTTATCATTTTGACTTCTTGCGATACTGATCTGCAGAACCTTCTAGAAAGGTTCGCAGCCGAGGGCGAGATAGCCGGCGGGTATGTGAGAGTTCTTAAAACGAAAATCGGAGTGTTTCTCATTCTTCTGCCTACTACATTCCGCAGATACGAGGAGAAATTCATGTATCTCAGCGTCGTGCTTACTGTTTGTGAAGAGTGGG